TGGCAAAAGTCTACTTGGAAGAGCAGGTTCTTCCGAACGTTGATTCCCACAGAGTGAGTGTGTGTGTGTGAATGGAAACGGCTAAAAATGAAGGAAACTTCAAAAGCAGCGGACATCGACTGCATTGGCGGTGGCGTAACAATTGTGTAGCCCGCTTTTTGGGGCCAAGAACTGTAGCTGCATGTATCAGGTGGCATCAGCGGCAGTCAACTTGTCAGGAAATGCGTCACAAAAGAAAATGCCGTGGAAATGTTATGCTCTTTGAGGCGGACATTCTCCCTTTTCTTCTCCGCAACATAAGCATGACAATTTCCGGGGTTTTCCCCAAAACATCTAATATAGTTTTCAATTAATTTACAGCTGGAAGAAACTACAAACTTTCGATATTTGGCCAATTTGGGTATACTTTTCTGATGGGAAGAGACCTCAGAGAGTTCCGACAGATAGGTTGAAATGCAAATTGAATGCATTTAGCTAACTGAGACTCCCGCCGACTGAGGCACAACTTTTCCACTTTGGCTCTGATGAATGTTTTTTCGAGGCAAGTCGACATGCAAGTAACTACATAAGCAGTTGCGGAATGGAGGAAACCAGTCGAAACTTAAAATAACACAAAACACTCTTTAAGTTGGCCAAACTAAACGCCGGGTAAACGAGTTTGCTCAGCAATTTAAGCACACCTATAAAAATTCAACTTTCATTTCCGAAAAACAAGGCGGTGGCATGTAAAACACCTTGAACAAAAAAGGGGAGGCAGGAAAATAGGGTGGGGCAGCACTCTTTGGCAACTGGTGAAGCGTGCAGCGTGTAAACGAGAGCTCTGTGAGGAATCCAGTGACTTTCAACTGTGATTTTCAACTTAATTAATTAAAAGCAAATTAAAAGTTTTAATCTCTGCGCTACAAATTGTTGCTGGAAAAGGGCCTCTCCCACTTTCCCTGCCAAAAAAGCGCCTACAACATTATTCCCGTTGAAGAAGGCTCCACTGATGAGCAAAATAATAAACTGTGGCTGCCTCCGAGTTGCCTCTTGTTGGCTGGAGAATCTGAAAACAATCGGGGGAAGCATCCGACAGCAACAAAGGAGTTCTTTCCGAGCAAAAGGGTTGGGTTTCCTAGGGCGTTGTGTGGGTCTGAGGGGTTGGTTTGGTTTCATAAGCCAGTGTAAGCAGATTTTATCTTAATTCAACGCAAAATTAACAAATTTCCAAGCCAAACAACGGCTGACAAAACAAGCAAAGTCAATTTGCCCAAGCGATTGGTAATGCTTTCCTGCAAACTTTACCCTCTGCCATTAGCCGGGGCACCTCGAGCCCATGTACAGAGCAATAATATGCGTTTATTTGCCAGAATTGCGATTTGGAATACCGAATTTATTGCCTAACAGTTCGGCTTAAAGCTTGCCATTTGATCAATGGCCCCGAATCAAAGCCAAATAGAATGCACGTAGCACGTAGCTGCAGCAGCATTATGGAAACGACATCGCCATCGCCATCCCCAGAGCCAGAGCCAGAGCCTTCACCTTCTGGCTCTGAAATTTCCAACATCTCTGGATGCTGCTAAACGTCACTTGCTGAATTTATGACGCACTGTCGCCTCCGAGAGCTGCATTCATCACGTTTCCGTCAGCTGCATGTCCAAGGCGTCGGATGGTTGTCATAAAAGATGCTCATCATCAGTTTTTGGGGCGTTCTCCTTCGACTGGCGGTGCCATAAAGCGTTTCTGGCCACGACCACGCCTGAAATAGGATCAAACCATGAATATATAGTAATCTCCTTTCGGCGAAAATCTGTTTCTTCCGCTAATTGCGCGGTCATAAATCCATAGGCTGTCTAGATTTGAGGGCGTGTCCGGCAGCGTCTTGTTTTGCATTTGCGAAATGAAAACACAACGCCGGCCAAGAGAATCGGCTGGCCTGCCAAGTACACGTCGATTTCAGAAATGGGCGCCGGGAGAGTACACTGGAAGGAAATAATGGTATATAAAATATTATTAGCAAATAGTAAACTGTTCCATTTTGTTGTTTATTATATAATTTGTACCTGTCAATTATTTATTTATTAATTTTAGTTAGGCAGTAAAGCACATCCCCTAAATATTGCCCGTTTATACTTCCGTATTTATGCTCCCATATGTGCGCTTATTAAAAAGAAACCTTAAACAGATTGATTATTAAACAGAGTCCTGAAAATATATTTATAATTATCTCTAAATTCAATACATTTTCCCAAATATTAATTCACAAGTATACTATTTCTGATTTACTCTTTATTTGACTCCCATTGAAGTAGGTAAATATTATTTTGATTTTTTGCTCTCTGCATTTATTTGCAACATTTTATTGTTGAGTTTTTGGCAGCGCCTGTCCTGGCTCTTGTCTGATGTTGCCGCTGCTATGTTACTGCAGAAGCACTCGTAAATGTCATGCCGTGCATTTGCATTTCAATTTCCATTACAATTCGGGATGCCACTCGGTCCGGACTACGGACTACCGCCCCCGTTCCGCTGCTGTTTGGCCGCGATTAGCGCGCTATAAATCCAAAAATGTTGCTGTATTTTAACAATGTTTTTGGGTTCGCCTGCCAGCCAGTCAGCCTGCTAGCCGCTCTGCCAATGGCCACTGTGTTTGCTGTTGTTAAATGCAGAAAAGACCATAAACCAAATCATTTGGCGCTGCCACGCCCCCCGAACTGGAGGCTGTGAAACATTGTCCCAGCATTTCAGAGAGAGAGAGAGAGAGAGAGAGAGAGAGGGAAGGAGAGAGCTCAGGCTTCAAAATATGCAACTCATTTTGCTGATGTTTTTGGCCGAAAAGCTGGTGTATCCCAGTATCCCATTTGCATTATTTGTAGCCCGATACGCATTTAATTAAAATGGCGCATTTGAATTAGTATTGGTGTGGGCATATAAAGCTACCGGGATTAGCATCAGCTATAAAGTCCCGAAAATTTTAAATCAAAAACACAAATCGGCATAAGTTACACATATTTTGGCAGCTTTTAGTTAAGAGTTTACAGAGACAAATGATATTAAATCATTGAAAAGTTCAAGTAAATGATGTTTCTAGTTGAAAATATAATTGAAGTAACAAATAAAGAGCTTTTACAACATGTTACTATATAAATAAGAAAGAAATATTAACTTCCCAAGGTTTACATCATTCTTCGTCGCAATAGTTTCACCACAGCTGTGTTGACGAGTGTAATTATAGTTGATTTACTCAGCAGAATAACCCATTTGCTTACTTAGTGGTTGTGTCAGCAGAATTCAAGTGGATTGAAGAGGTCTCGAGGTTCCTTCAGTTCCTTTGGCACGTCCGCGTGTTCGAAGCATTTTGCCTACTCATTTTGCGTTACGCATACGCCGTGTGTGCGCGGAGCTCTTCGGCAATATGGTTACGTGTAAAACTTTAAACAGAACGATGACTGCACAATTACGGCAACTAACCGAGGGGTGTGCCTGTTGGGGGTGGCAGTTCGAAAAAGGGGTAGTGGCAACTGCGGTTAGGTCTTGGCTGCAGCCAATGGCTTGTAAATAATACGAGAGCTTACCTGCGCTGCTGGGTTCCTGGGTTCCTTGGTCGGTTGGTCGCTGGGTCGCGGCCTCGCTGTTGCTGGTTGTAGTAGATGGTGGCTTTGCCATTCTGTGGCCTTTGCCCCGTGCTGCCATGTGGCGGTATTCCCGCTATTGCAGCAACTAATTAAGACAAACTAACGGACGCGGCTAGGTGTGGAGCGCGTACGCTTAGGGGGTGTGTGCCCGATGTCCTTGAGAGCCAGCTCGGCTCAAGGGCGAACATGCATCCAAAGAAACGCAGTATGCATAATGCATAAACTTTAATTTTAAATTAAAAGCAAAATGGCTTTGAAAAAGTGTCTGCTAAATATGCAGCTCTCTACTAACCCGATTTAATTTAATGATAATGTAAATGTAATGAATTTTCGAATTCATTCTCTAGAAATATGAGTACCTATGCTTTTTCTCGCACTGCACAACCTATGTGTTTTGATATATATGCTTTTGTTACAATCACAATGTGTTTACAAGGGAGGAGACGTAGCGGCAAGCGAGTGTGTTGTGCGAGCTGGGCGCCAAGTGCACTTAATTTGTTTGCTTAATTTACAAAACATGAGACGCTGGCGATGCTCTGGTCCTGCCTCTGGTCCCAGGACCCCGGTTCTCTGTTCCCTGTTTCCCCGGTCGCAGGTCTCGGGTCTCTCAGGTCCTCCTCCCCTCTGTTGTGTGTTCGCCACTCGCCGGCTGTGTCAGCAGCGGTATCAGCAGCAGCTTCGCCTGGTAACTGGTAACTGGTAACTGGTAGCTGGTGTTGCATGTAAGTGCAGCTGTTGTTGGCAATGCGAGGAGAACAAGGACCAACTTCGACAGTGTCATCCTTGCGCGGCCCAGAGACCGCGTGTGTTTGTGTGTCCGTTAATAACGGGATCATTGCCTTAATTATGCACACCTAAAGTGCTTGACAAGTTACGCAAATTTTGACTCTTAAGTGAAGGGATGCATTTAAGGAGTAAAGACTTTAAAAAGATTTATCCAAGACAACATGGTTGGCTTATAAGTCAATATAAAGAAATAACTCGTGTTAATCCTTTATTAGGGTTCATAGTTTAATTATGAAATCATTAACATCCTGTCCACCACGAAGTTTTAATCCCTTTATATTCATGCCCAACATTTTTAGAAATGAAAACAACCTTTTTGTACATTTTGTATTATTTATTTATTTCATCATATAATTCTTGCCATTATCGCTTTTTATGTTGAGCTAAATTTCACGCCCACATTGGCCGGCGTGCACTTTGTTGGTTTTTGTGTGGTTTGATTTCGTTTGACCTTTTTGGCTTTGCTTAACTCCCGTTAAATTATCCATAATTATGCATATTTAATATATAATTTCTCCTTGTTGTTGACTCATTCTGCTCGGCTTTGTTTTATTATTTCTTCGTTTTCCTGTATTTAAGTTTGATTTTACATTTTATTATTAGTTTCGTTTTAGTTTAGTTAAGATTAGTTTGCGTTTCAGTTTATTTCGACCTGCCACAACTCGCTAAAATAACTTCGTTTCGTGTTTTCTTTTGATTTACAATATGTTGCTTAATCGGCTTATATTATATATTTTCCAATTTCCCAATTTTTGTCACTTAGCTGAGAAATACATATAGGCTGAGCACGATGTACATCTTGATTTTATTTATTTATTATAATTCTTATTTTTTTTGTTTTTGTGAGTTTGCGTTGAGCATGAATCTCTAAAAATAGTCCTTTGGCCAAGGAGTTCGGATTTAAACTCTGAGTTCGTTCGGCAGAATATACTCTCAACATCATCCAACTAACTTGTACGCACTAAATTCTCTCTTGTCCTGACATTTATTACTCGATAAATATATATATTTGCGTTATTCGTTTAAATTTAGTCTAAAAACAAAGTCCATCTTGTGCCTCAACGGAAATTTAAATTCCAACAAACTGATACCGCAAATAAGCCACAATTGAAACGAAAACAAATCCAATTTAACTGAATTTGGCCGATATTCATTTTTGATTTTTTCTTTCTTGCTATATTTAATTAAATTTTTTTTTTATTTGATTTCATCGATTTTTCATAAAGACTTAATTAGTTTGTATTTAACTTGTTCTTCTCAGCTTTAATTAATGTTTGCCTACACGCGGTCTGCTGCTCTTGTGTGGGTCTCGTATTATTAAATTATTATTTTTGGTTTTTTATACTTTACAGTAATTATTTACATAACTTATGTGCCTAGGTTGCGGTAGTTGGAGGGTAGGGTGTACTTAGTATTTAAATGTGTGTGTCACTTACGCTTATTAATTGTTGTTTTTTCTCTGTTTATGTAATTAGTTTTGCAACGTTTCGCTTGCAAGTGCCTTTGTTAATTTATTTAAATTTATGGATTCATTTTTCACTATTCTTCGTCTGCTGGTTTCTCTCTGTTTTCTTGAAGAGTTCAACCACGCCTGTTACGTATTAAATTTATGCTATGTTTTCCCTTTTACTATTATCTTTATTATTATTATTATTTTTATTATAATTATTATTTTAACCATCCGCTGATCGTGTCGTGTGTGGAAATGTAGATCCAAATTTCTTCTTAATTTACGCTTTATTATCGGAATTTTGTAGGCAGCCACCGCAAATAATGAGTTAATGCATTAAAAATATTACATCGGCTTGAAGTCTGCTTGTTTTGTTTGGCGAACCAGGCAAATTAAAAAATAAAAACATATAAAATACCAGAACATGCTCTACTAGGCGTTGACAATGCAGGGTCGCCGTCGGTTTTCCACCATGATTCTTCTTTTGATTTTTGCATTTCCTTGTTGTTATGCACGCTTCACAGGCTGAAGCATATTGTTTGTTTGTTTTTTGTTATTTTTTAATTACACAGCTCCCGCTGCTGATTCCTCCTCCTTGTCCTCCTCTCCGCGTTCCGACTTGTCCATGGCAGTGTGGTGTGTGTGGAGCAGCTTAGGTCATCCGCTGTGGTCACAGATGCCCCACCGCCAGCGTGGCCACGGCTAGCAGGATGGCGCCCGCGGCTCCGCAGCAGATGCAGCAGCGCTGGGAGGCGCCGGTCAGCGCCGAGTTGTCCGGATCCCCATTGGCATACCGCTTCGAGCCCTCCAGACCCAAAAGATTCGGCGAGATGGTCGTCGGCGGCGCGTTGCTCAGACCGATCCGCTGCTGGACGCTCTTGTGGAACACATGCAGGATGGACACTTCGCACAGCAGGTTGATGTTCGCCTGGTACTTGGCCTGGAAGAAGCCCTGCAGCACCTGGCTATGCGGATAGATCTCCAGCGAGGAGTACGTTGTGGAGCCCTCGAAGGCGTCCTGTGTGATGCGCTGCAGCGGCGTAGGATAGACCTGAAGTGGGGACGAAAGGTAAAGCCAAATTAAGATATATGTCAATACTTGTAAAATATAATATTCAAATTATTATGAAATGCCTCTAAAGGTTCACTATCTCACCATTCGTCCATTGATGTACCAGGTGATGTTAGCCGGCGGATACGAGGGACCCACAGTGCACACGGCCTTAAAATTATCATTCACGCCAATAACCTTCTTGTCCACCTGCATCACCGGCTCGTCCTTTGGCAGCTCAATCACCTGCATGTGCGCCGAACGTATCTCCGTGTGGAAGAGTGGAGCATCCTCTGAGACCTCGCACTGATAGCTGCCGCTCAGCTCCCGGGTGACACCTTTCAGCGTCACCGAAGTGGCATCCGACTTGCTGAGCTGAAAGTGGCAAGTAATGAAGGACAGGCGGTTGTTAATACGTCAGAGGCAAAATGTGGGCAGGCTATGCACTGCCAAGAATGAATGATATAAAATAGTGGTTCTATTTTTGTAATAAACAAATCTATTTATAATATTTATCTTGATGGTTTTGGATATCAATTTTCAGTTTTGAGATTTACAGAGAAGTTATAATTTTTCACCCCTCCATGGTATTATAATTTCAGTTAGCATAATCAGCATCAACAGGCGAATCTTTCTATTTTTATACCCTGATCAATAAACATTAAGTAACTATGAGCAGTAAGTAACTTTGAACAGAAAGTATCTATGACTAGTAAGCATCTATGACCAGTAAGTATCTATGATCATTAAGTAACTATGATCAGTAACTTTCTTTGAACACTAATAAACAATGACTTGCAACTTTTGTAACACAACACACTTCTGAGACTTGGCCGGCAGAAGTCACTTCGTTCCGGGGATGTCAGAACTAGTTGAGAATCATATGCATGGGCGAGATGTGTTTTTGGACCAATTTAAGAGCAAGCTATTTGAATGAAACTATGGAGTTATTGTTCTATATAATTTAACTATTATATAAGTCGGAGCATGGCGAATCGGTGGACTATATTTATACATATATATAGCAGATATAGGAACGATCGAGAAACAATAATACAATTAAAAATAATAAAAATTTTTCGGCACGTCGATTGTATATTTCTTTAGGATCTTTATGATATAGTCGTCCGAAGAATACGTAGTAGTAAGAGTAAATCGAAAACTATCTAACCTTCTCTCAGTGTGCTTGGCGCGTAATAAAGCAGAATAGCTCCCTTTACCTCCCCTACGTATTTAACTCAATCTTTCATCGGCTTCCATTTTTGGACGGATTGGTTCCATCAGCATCCCCAATTCCGATTCCGAATCCGAATCCGCGCTTGAAAAGCACAGGCAGAGTCGCATTTGTTGGTAGTCAACGGGGCATGAGTAAGTACCAATGCTGCCATTGGTTGAGGCATGCCCCATGGCGGGGCTGCGGCTTGGATTTACTGGCCTGCAGTCACATTCAGGACCTTTGGCAGGGTATTACAGGAGTCGCATAATACCAATTTCAACCCCGCACACACTCGTTGTCGCAGTTTAGCATATTCTGTTAATTGCCAGCAAGCGCTTGCCACTTGGCAAACAGTTGTGCAATATCCTACTCAAAATCCACTTCAGCAACGAACCATTCGCGATTACCGTGTGTGCCGCTGGGTGTGAGTGTGTGTGTGTATTTGAGAGGTCCTTTTATCGCAGGCCTGGTCTTTTGTATTTAAGTTCAGGCAGCACCAATGCTCGTACGCAACCCATTCGAGTTTTGCATATGCCACCAAAGCCAGAGCACCAGAGCACCATAGCCGGCGTTGCCATCGCTTTGTTCATTTGCATCTGTACTAATCCTGGCATCCTCGCTTTTGCTGTTGTTGTTGCTATTGGTAGTGCCACCCCCCGACCATCAGTTACCACTAGCTACCATCCAGCCCCTCCTCACACCCGCTTGTAGTGGCCCGCGGCAAACAACAGCTTTTTACGATTGTTTCAACACTTTGGCGCATTGCTCGGCTTGGCCTGGCTTTCTCTCTTCCCCCTCTATATTTACTATGGTTTGTTGTTTTCTTTCCAGCCAGTTGTGCCAGTTCATTCGCAGATAACGCCATCGATAAGAGCACCACCTACGGGCTCCTGGAATCCTCTAAACCCAGGCCAACCCTCAACCCCCTAAACCCAACCCTAAACCCAGGCCAACCCTCAACCCCCAACCCCATCTTACTCGCGGTTGCCAATTGGCATATTGGCCATCCATGGCTGGCTCCATGGCTCCACAGCAGCTCCATTCGATCCCAATGGCCCCTGGCGAGCTGTGGTTTTAGTGGCTTTCGGATTTGTCGACGCTGATCTCGTTACGTAATCGTAAAATGAAAACAAATGCGAAACGTATTGATAAGGTTCTCTATATGCATGAGCAGAGGCTGTGGTTATATTTGTGTTTGTGTGTCGGGTCCATGAATAATGTGCATCGAGCCAGAGATACATTATGATTTCGTATTGGCTTATGTGAGTTATGCGAGCGAGAATCTATGGAGTCACTGCATAAAGCTTGGCCCTGCCATCGAAATAGTTTTCTATAAATATTTAAACCACTCCATGCTGATTCTCCTTTAAATAAATGCCAGCCACAAAGGTGTCACCTAGTTTAAGCTCGTATCTGTACTGACAAATCACCTGAAAATGGGTTTTAATTGAGGTTATTTAAGATATGTAACAAAAATTTCGGAGATTTTCCAGTTACATTTGCATTTGTTCAAGCTAAAGAATTGCTCTTGCCATAAATAATTTCTTCTTTGTATTCTAAACCTCAATACGAAGTCATTGTAACTATTGTCTATAAAATTTTTTTGAATTGTTATAAACTCATATAGTTTTTTTTTTTTTTTTTTTTTTTGCAAGTTTCTCTGCATTCAAATGTAATGGCTTACCGCCTCCAATACGCTCGAGGGAATGACGTGCCCTCATCTAATTAAATGACACTAATTATGTAATCAAACATATACGCAAAGTTGTTCCTGGCCGCTTTATTTATTCAGCAGCTTCGTGTGGCTGTGGCTGCGTTGTTGACTCTTTTTCTTGTTTTGTGGCGGCTCCTGCCTCTGCTGCTGTGACTGTCATATTTATTTAATTGCATCTGACTTTATTTGTTGGCTGGTACTCTGCGGCCGGTCCTGGCGGAAGCGGATGTGGCAGCGCCAGGAAGCGCGCCAAACAAACGCAAATGTCTGCCATTTTGAGGAATGATATGCCCAGTACAGCCGACTTGCGGAGAGTCACCAGCATACACACACACATCCTGGCACACCCACGCTCACATCCTTTCAGTTGCTCACTTGAAACTGTAGCCATTTTGTAACTGCTCCTCGGGGCAGCCAGGACAGCAGGCAGGGAAAACTCAACTCAAGTTGCGTTAGTCGTGAAAAGTTTTTTTTTGCTTCAGCCCCTGTTTTTTCGCTTCCGCTTTTATTTATTTTTATTTGTTGGCTTTTAATTTCTATTTATATTTTATATTGCTTTAGCAGCCACAGCTGCAACTTTCAGGCATGAAAAAATTACGCCACTAAAGCGTAATTTTGCATGCCAAACACACAGACACGTGGAGGAGTTTTCCCCACATTTTCCGCACTCACTCGCACATCGTTTCCCTTTTGCTGCCCCCGTCCAACCCATGTGTGAGAGTAAAGTATTGTTTCAATAATTCTGGCTTTATGAAATAATAACTTTACTGCAAAAAGCTCTCGGCCCGGCTGAGCTGAGCTGAGCTGCCAGAGTCGCCGAGTTGTAAGAATACAATGAATTTCATTGCAGTGCCCCCAATGCTGGCTGCTCTCCCCATTTTTCCTGCATTTTTCCTGGCTTTCCTCCTGCCTTGTCCCCTGTCTTATCCCCTGTCTGCTCCCCTGCTTTTCCACAGCTTTTTCCCCTTGCTTCTTCCCGCTCCACTGCCGCATGCTGCCCACTTTTGTGGCTCTTTCTGCAGTTGTTCCCGGCTCCTCACTGAGTTTCCGCTGTTTGTTGTGCAGCAATTTTAATTTTGCCAACGCTGTCGCATGCGGCACACGTGCACTGAGAGAAAAACGCAGTATAAATAAATAATAAATTGAATCAGAAATTAGATAGTAACATTAATATTAAATTAAACCCAATTTGTACACCTGGCGTTAAATGAAAATATTCTTCTACCTTATTCTAATTCATTGTGTAACTTTATTTTTCTGCAGTACACAAGTATCTGTGAGAGCTTGGCTCAGCTGCAGTCTCGTTTGCATGCAACACTTTATGAATTATTGCTGTATCAACTCAAGTCGCGGCCACAAGACCACACACGCACACTCCTATTCCCGGCCCCACACACACACTCACACACACACACACACCCCTCGCACACACTCACACATGCGCTCGTATTATGTCATGCCGAATTTCCGCTGCCGGGAGCATTGTTGTAACTAACGGCGTTCTCCCAACCAATTCCCCATACCACTATTTCCCACGAATTTCCCGCCCATGCCCCACGCCAGGCCATGCTTTTCCCACTCGCAGTTGCCGTTGGCATTTCACAACTTCGACTGCCTAACGCTTGGCAAAAACCGACCACAAATTTAGTGAATGAGATGTTTCCGGTGCGGTTGTTATTCCTCTTCTACTCCTCCATGTTGCTGCTGTTGCTGCTGCTGCTGTTGGTGTTGGTGTTGCAGGTTGCCATTGCTGATGCTGTTGCTGGCAGAGGCCCTTGCTGTAGTTGTTGTCGCTGCTCTGAACAATTTTTGGTGTTTGGAAAATGCATGGCTTTTTATTGTGCTCATTGTTGGCGCAGGCAGACAACAGCACGCCAATGTGAATGGGTCTAGGAACCAGCACAACCCCCACTTACACATCGCACACCCAATGCCATTTGGCCAGCTAGTTACACCCAGCTATTCCGATTGCCGCTGTGCACTTCACGAATGCATTTCGCATTTTTATTTATTATGTTTATTTGTTGCCATTTGTCACACAACAATTTCTAGCTGTGGAAAATGACAGCGAAAATTTGGCGAAGGCAAAGTGTCTGCATGTGACTGGCTTAAGTAGTTAATGGAAATTGAAGTGAAGCTTTAAGGGGTTTACAATTAAATAACCATGTATAATGGAGAGGATACTCCAAGAGCAAACCCACTTTTATAAAGATAAAGTATCTTTATGACTACTATTGATGGAAAAGTTGTATGGGTTCTCTCATATTTTAGCATCTTCAAAAGATCTTTAAAAAGTATATACCAATTTGACTAAATTTATTAAAGTCAAGGCCTTAAAACTACTTAAAGAATTCAATCAGATTTCTTTACCTCACATGAGTCAGCAAAAAATGGAAACACTTCCCCTTTTGCACTTCCTGTTTAAAAGATAATCCCTCCCACGCT